CTACTCCGTGTCCCGAGGTTATATGTATATATAATTATAGTTGACATACAGTGTTATTCAACATCAGTTTCAGAAATACAATGCGTTGGTAAGGCCTCCACATCAACTATGAAGTGGACTCCCCAAAAGGGTATTGGTCCATCTACGCCAAGATCTTTAAAATGGCTTCATGGGTTACGTGTGGTTTCCCCTTGCCTTCTTTTGTTTCAGTTTGAAAGCTACCATGAAAGAGAATTTCATGGGGAACAATGGACCTGTGTGGACGCTTGCCCAGTGGAAACTCTCACAATGTGGGATCAGATTCCTTAGCACAGGGACCCAATCGTTAAGTTTCTTTTGTTGTTGTTAATGCCAATTGTAAACCCCCAGATATGCACACCCTTCTCAAAAAGAGATGGCTTAACTAGAGCGATTCAGTGGAAAGCAGTCATCTCCCCATGAAGCCTCCTTTATTAATGATTGTTATTTATATCGGGGACTGAGTGAAAATTGATCCCGTTTTAAGCAGGCATGGAATGCAGGTAATTTGAAAGTCTTGCCGTGGCTGGGTTGCGTGTTGTTTACATAGCTCTTTGGGGCATTTGGAATGGATGACAAACAGCTTTGTGCCTCTCCTTGCAGGACTCTCTGTCCCCCTGCCCTGCTCTCGCCCAGTCCCTCCCACCAGCAGGCACTTACTTGAGTTTATGTAGCCACTGCTACCGTGTGTCAGGCTCTGTTTCTCCAGCCGGCTCCCTCCACCCGTTTTAGCATAGCCATTGCTGGTCCCCCCTTCTGCAGAAAGAAGCAGGTGACAATGTATGGGTGGAGTCAGCCCGGAGAGTCCCCTCATTCGTTGCCCTTTGGAAGCCTTCCCTGGCTTCTCAACCATGACCCTCTTGGTTTGGGGTCCCTTTCCCATCTATACTGCACAGTGCAAGCTGCCATGCTCTTGTTTTGTTTGTTTCTAATATAAATGTCAAGAGCAAACATTCCACTCGATTTAAAAGGAATGTCTTCTGGGTGGAGCACAGCAAGTTGCTTATTAGGAAAATTTAAATATTGGAACAGTTAGAGTGATAAAAAGCTCCTTGAGGCCAGGGCCTGTGTTGGGCTTGCCTTTTTCAAATGCCTGGGCAGTGCCCTGGCCATGGCTGCCCCTAGAAGTGTTGGAGGGACGAGTGACAGCTCTGTGTGGCTGGTGTTCTGCCTGGCAGCCCATCATGCTTCAACCTTGAGTGCTGATGGTGGGATTTCCACCTTCCCACCCCTCGGTATGCCAGGCTTTCTGGGAGGTGTGGGGGTAACTTCAGGGCTCAGACCTCCATTACAGAATCCACTAAACATAAAGACCTCCAGAGAAGAGTGGACTCAAACAAAAGCCTGACTGGCGGCTCCCTGCTCCCACCCCATGTCCAGGTTGGATAAGATTTCTAACATTTTAGTGTTCAGATCAGGCAAATCTATAGAGGCAGTAGGTAGATTTGGTTTTCAGGGGCAGGGAAAATGGCGGGGGAGTTCCTGCCAATGGCCATGAGGTTTCTTTTTGATGTGATTTAAATGTTCTAAAATTAGATTATTGCAACAGCTGCACAACTCTGTAAATATACTAACAACCATTGAACTGTACATTTCAAACTGGTGGATTTTAATGGTATATAAATTAATGTCAATACAACGGTAAGAAGGAAAAGATTTTAGATATTTTGGATTTGCTCAGCTGGAGCATGAGTGCCCCTGGGAAAGGTTACATGTAGAGTCCTTTATATGTGACTTTTTGAGAAGAAAGCCTCCAGATAGTCACTTACTTGGTGGTAAGGATGTAAGTCTTGTAGTTACGGTTTCGGTGATAACTAGAAAAAGACAAAGAAAAGATGAGATCTTACGTAATGCACTAAAATCCCTTTATTTTGGCAAAGTCTAATATTGGTCATAGGCTCAGCACATTAAATTAGGTTCAACAGGGATTTTTGTATATCTGTGCTTTAAGGTATGTGATCTACTTCACTATCCATGAAAATATGTGCAGTAACAATGGGGCTTAATGTACCTGGAAAATAAGTTTATACCCTTTTGAAACCAAAAGTAGGTGGCTACCTGATTTGAAAAATGAGTTGTCCTGGCTTCAATGTTACTCATTTAAAAATTAGATCGAGTCAGTCCTGGATTTGCCTTTGAAGGAGGACCAGACCCTCAAGCCACTCTCCCGTGTCTCAGGTCACCCTTTCTTGCACTGCCCCTTCCAAATGGTCACCCACTCCAGCGGGGGCCAGGGCATCATCTTGGCTTATTTTGCTGTGAAGTGGATAATTACCTTGTACTTTTTAAAAATTAACTTGGGGGTGTCTCAAGAACATCCTAATTCATTCTAAAATCTTCAGGGTCATCCGTGAGTGTGAGGAGGTGCAGGAAGGAAGAGCAGTCGGTAAGTCACATTTGGTGCTTGGTGAAATCAAAGATAAAGGGACATCAAAGGCAAACTTGAAGAACCAGTCCCTTTGCCTCCTGAAATTGAGCGGTTCTCAACCTTCCTAATGCCAGGACCCCTTAATACAGTTCCTCATGTTGTGGTGACCCCAACCATAAAATTATTTTCGTTGCTGCTCTATAACTGTAATTTTGCTATTGTTATAAATTTTAATGTAAATATATTTTTGTTTTCCGATGGTCTTAGGCGACCCCTGTGAAAGGGTCGTTCGACCCCCAAGGGGGTTGCGACCCACAGGTTGAGAACCGCTGCTCTAGACGCCAAGTGATGGTGAATCTATGGAAGTCATAAAAGTTTCTGGTGTTTTTAAAAACACCAGTTAGAAGAAAGACCTCTTGCCCTCCTGAGTCACCCTCTCCCCTGCAGCAGCATGAGAAAGTGGTTAGATTCCCCCAACCCACAGTGGGGCAAATTTTGTCCTCTGACCGTGACCATTAGCACTACCTCCCTCTGTGTTGCACTTAAAGGAGCACCTATCCAGCTGAGGCCGCTGGTCTTTAAATGCTTTTCATGTTTGTGTGCTAACAGAGCGTGTGCATGCCCAAGTGTATGTATGTGTGGTGTGCACATACACATGCCTGTGGTTATGGGGGGTGAAAGGAGAAAAGGATGGAAGGAAACAGTGCAGGATCACTTTGAGCCGCACTCAGCTGTGCTGCTCACAGCGGCTCCACCCTACACCAGTCTGACTGCCCACCCCCTGCCCCTTCCCCCTTCACACTGCATTTTCCTAATGAGTTTGGCTGTCGTAGCAGGAACATGAGGTTATGAATGTAACAGAAACAGCATTCCAAACATAAAAGGAAATGGTTTTGCAGACTAAAATGACAGCTTGATTTGAATAATGGTCCCAAGCTTTCACTAAACCTTTAAGTGTATAGACCTTTGGGGCTCTTTGACACATAAAAATAAATTTTTTCTTAACCTAAAGTTCCAAGTCTGTGGAGCCAAAAATTTGTTTTTTTAATTGGAGATATATGAATGTCACAGAATAAGTGAAAGAATTAGAGCTGCTAAGGGGACAGTTTAAATGTCTTCGAAGTTATCATTTGGGCAGCTTCACAAAAGAAATGTGTCTGTTATCAGTTTTCAGTGTAGATTACAACCATGACACTAGTGTTATTCTAACTTTGTCTCTTCAATAATTGAGATATTATTCTTTTGGATTTCTGTTGCGTATCCCTAAGTAAGGAAATGGTTAAATACACTACGGTAAATTCATTCAACAGAGTATTGTGCAATCATTAAAAATGCTGGTTATAAAAACTATACATCAAACTGGCAGTTTTCATCCTTGAAACAAAAAAAGCAGAACACATTTTTACTCCAAGAATGTTAAAATAAAAATCCACAAAAGGCATTTCATGGAAAGGAATAAAGTCTGTTTAGGAATACCTTTAAAATGATAGTTTAAAAAAGGCAAAAAAAAAAAAAAAGAAAAGAAAAAACTTTCAAGATTTGGCCAAGGCTGTGTCAAAGGTGTAACTTGTGAACTTGAGTGGGAAGTGCTGTAATAATCTGCAAATAAAATTGGCACCATGTGCTATCTGTATATATTATTATGTTACATTTACTTATTTTTAATAAAGTTGCAGTCCTTTTTATTTCTTATACCTTAAAAAAAAAGAAAAGAAAAAAGAAAAAACTAAGTAAAAAGTAGAAAAAAATTACACAGTACTTGTGGTGAAATTAGGAATGAATTATTTTCTCTTTCCGGTTTTGTATTACTTTGATAATAACATATATATCATGCTCTTACTTCTTTCAGTGACTTCGGTGCCATCTCGTTTGCTTTTCTTGGTTACATCCATACCATAGCCACCTGTGGAAAAAGCCAGAAACCATGAAGGGCCATGCCTCTTACCATCATTTTTCCTAAGTATATGTCCCTGCTATTCAAGCTGAGAAACTAAAACCTGATTCCTAGAATTCAAAGCATAATTCTTTCGTGTGCATATTTTTTTTACATGCGTCATTCCTACTTCTTGTATCAGTTATAATAGAGAGTAATTTAATAGTTCCACTTTGTATTCTAATCCTTGTACAGGGATGTCATTTTTCAGGATCTAATTAAGCAGGTTGTCCCTTGCTGGGCATTAAAGGGCTTACACAGAAGATGTGGTGCCCTGACCTTTGACTAGAAAACCTCCGTTCTTTGCCAAAGTCACAAATAGCTGAAGGATATCTGTCAAAGTACTTAGTTACTTTCAGCTAACTCATTTTGATGTATCTCATAATGTTCAGTGTTCTATATGGAGCTCTATGAATATAATACATTTATGGTTCATTATTTAGAGTTTGGGTGTGAGAATGATGTTTGATGGATTGAGATCAGAATAAAAATCATTATAATGGTCATGCTTGTATGGAACTTCACGCTTTTCCCCGTATGAAACTTGCTCTTCATAACAAACCAGCCCTAGTATGCTTCTTTGCAGACATTAATAGGAAAAATAGATGAAGAAAATGTGTGTAAAATCTATTGAAATATGTAGGATAATACATATTTATACATGTTAGCCATGTTGTTCCTTCACTCTGCTTCTGGAAAGGAAAGCCACTGAGATCTTGTCCACTTGTCCTGGAGCTTGGATGGAATGGGCAGGGCTCACATCGAGGGTTTAGGCCGAAACACACAGAAGAGCACAGCAAGGATCCCCATCTCATCTGGGCTCTTTTGGCTGCAGGTCCCAGTCTCAGGTTCTGGAAGGACTTGAAATCTGGCTTTCCCTGTGGTTGTCTTCCCTCCACCTCTGAACCTTCCCTTCCTCCAAGTTTACTTTTTGGATGAAGTTCAAATTGGATTCTAGAATTCTGGGACAAGCCGCTTCTGCCCAGGATTTCCCCCTCGCTTGGAGAGCTCTCCTTTCAAGCTTTTTTGCCTGCCTGGTGACTTTAGTACCTAATGCCATCATACTTTTAGGGGCCCACAAAGTGTCTTAATTTATTTTTAAGATCAGTAGGAAAAATGGACGCAATCCAATCTGGGTTATATTCTTCCAATGCAGTTATAAACTAAATATAATTTTTTAAAGTTTTTAAAAAAATTTTATTTAAACAGAGGAGGGGTTCCAAAGGCAAAACTTCCCAGAGCCCATGAAAATCATAAGTGGCCCCCACTGAAAACCAAGACCATGTGAGACCAGCTGGTCAATTACCCGGTGTAATTAACCAAGACTGGCATAGTTAGCTTCAGGGCCTGGTCTTAAGTGCCAACTTCATGTTAATCGGAGTTTCTTAAGTGCAGCTCTAGGCAAGGAATGAGGCATCATGGAAAAACCTCTAGCTGGATCGGAGAAGCCACAGAAGATCTTTTTGTAGGTCTGTGTCCCAGAGCCAAGAGGAGAACTCCATAAACAGTTTAACAATGGAGTCCAGCCTCATTGGAAGACCAAATCTGACCTGTTATTGTCTGCATTCCAGAAATAACCTGTACGACTTATGTCAAACCTACATGCAACTGGACACCCTCTTTGAAATCCTTTATTTAAGCATTAATTGCCTTTGGTGCCTCTGAAGCCCCATTTCACCTTTTTTTTTTTTTTTTTAAACTGGTCATTTTGGAGATTAAACATTCAAATGCACCTGGCTGCTAATGGCGAGCCACCTAGGATGGCCCCTGAGTTGATATGAAACATCCTGAAAGGAACTGTTTATGACAATCCATGGAAACCTTCACTTCCCACAAATTATTGCTTATTTTGATCCTTTAATGAAAGTTGCTGCCGGCAGCTATACATTAGGGATTGGCTGAGTTTATTCCCCTTGTAGCATCAAGGCAGGCTGGTGACAGCTCCTTTTGGTAAGAATCTCACTGTCCAAGCAGCAAGACTGGCATGTGTTTTCTTGTTCTTTTTGTACCAGGAAAATAACAGACATTTCTCGGCCCCTCCATCTTTTTCTTAATGACAGAGCCTTGAGATCTGCAGGAAAAAGCCAAGGGTTCCCCAACTTCCAGAGAGCACAGAGAGACAGCTTACTAAGAAATCAGATGCCCTCCTTCAGGGCAGGGGGGCTCCTCACTGGCAGGTACCCTGGGGTAGGACATGCCCTCAGTGGGTGCAGGAGGTGGCCCCTTGCCTCTCTCTCAGCCTGAGCCCTCAGATGGCTATGTCCCATGGCCATAAAGAATGATTTCTTGGGCCTAAAATGTACAGGAATGAGCTCTGTTTACTTTGCCAAAGCTCTCTTCCAGACTATAGTCTGAAGTGGCAGGAATGTGTTGGGAGATGGGTTCCTTTAAACCAAATGTAAGAGAAAACTTTCTGTGAGTGAGTTATCAAATGGAAATGAGGGGTTGAGGCACAGACCTAGATGGAAATAATCCCATGGGATGTACAGTATCCCCACAAGACTTCCTTTTTAAATATTTTAAGTGTCTGTAATTTAAAAAGTACAACTAACATAAGGGAAAAGAAATTACATGCCTGGCAGGAGCCTGGCCCTGTTCCTCCCAGCTACATTCTCTAGTACGCTCTCCTCCAAAGACACTACTTAAAGGAAGTATACTCAAGTAGCATGCTTTTCAGCTTCTTGGATGCTTGGGCCACTTCACAGAACTAAGGATGAGCAAGTCACTGAAGTTCTCAATTTCCAAAGTATGCTATTTCCATCTGTAGTTCCAAGGGGCTGCTCATGGTTATTTTATAGTTGAAGATGTTAAGAATGATACCATGTCAATTTCTGATACAGGAAAACATAATTCAAAATCATTTTTCTACTTTGATGAGTGGTTTTTTTCTTTCCACTTCATTTAAAGGATGTCACATTTACCTAAAATTATTTTAATGATGATGTGGTGTAACACACACAAGCAAGAACAACCCCGCTGTTAGCAATAGTAAACCATGACATTGACCTTATTTTATTCTAAGGACTCATGAAACACTTGGTCTGTGATGCCTGATCCTGTGATGCCCAAACAGAGAAGCTAAGTGTTTTTCTCTCTATTTTCTATTTTAGGAATAGATGTTCTTATACTCTGCTAAGGAATCACAAGTATTTTCATAGCTCCTCTTACTCCAATCTCTGTACACTTTAAATTTTGAAACAATACAACAACAAGATGACCAAAGTGTGAGAAAACTCATCCATTAGGTAGTGATCTGTAAACACAGAAAGGCCAGGCAGTTTGACAGGCAAGAAAACCAATTAGTGTCCTGAGGTTGTCTCAGGAGTTTTGTCTCTACCCCAGCAATGGGTTTGCCCACTAGCTACATTTGGCATACTCCATTTTCATAGCTTGGGGGTGGGGGAGCTTGGGCACCAGTTTGTGATTATGCCCCATATTTAGCGCCATGTTTGGTTAAATCCTACGGCTGTTAATAACAACAAATGAGCCAAACCATGGAGACACAGATTTCTTTTGGTCAGGCAGTGTCTAAGAATGTGGTTAGTTCTTAGGTTGGATTGGTTTCATCAAAATAAAAAGTTCCTGTCTAAGCTTGAATCAGGACGGCTCGCTTTAATTTTCCTCACGTAAACCCTGCTTAGATTTTTGTGGGTGATTTAAAGGGGCTGAGAGTAAAGCAGGCCCTGGTTCTCTGAGGGAGCTGAAGTGCCTGCTTCCGTTTAGTTAGTTTTGACTTAGATCTGTGCCTTAGCTCTAAGAGAGAGCATACAGGGGCGAGAAGGAACAACTCTGCTTTTCAAATGAAATTCTTTAAAATCTCACTACATTTTACCGCCATAACAAATCCAATGATTAAGGCTACTGATTAACGGCTTCTCAAAAGAAGTGATATGCCAGGGGCTTTGCCTACATTTCAAAAAGTGAAGTAGCAATTTGTCAGCTAGCAGTTAATGTGGTCCTGAGAGACACCTAAACTGGTAATTTTCACCCCAAAGTGATTTTGGGGGGCCCAACTTGGCCAGTTAAAGTGTACACACAGACAGAATTTTCTTCCTTTCTTTTTTTATTGTTCTAAATTTGACTCCAGGAAATTCCTGGATTAATTATATCATTTCAGCTATTTCACTTTACTTTAGATTAGGGAAGCAGTAATTTTAGAGTGTGATAAACAACAATGTTTGCCTAGCCTCTTGAGCTTAATCAGAGCCTGCCAGCACAGAAGCCTGGGCAGCTCCAGGACTGCTTCTAGAAGGCCCCACTCACCTACACTTGAACTTCACCTCTGAGCTGTTTTCTGCTGTCAAGGGGAGAGAGAAAAATAGAGGGAGGGGGGAAATAGAGGGAGGGAAGGAGAGAGAGAGAGAGAGAGAGAGAGAGAGAGAGAGAGAGAGAGAGAGAGAGAGAGAGACAGAAAGGAGAAATTGAGATCTAGAGAAAAGAAATTATAATCTCATCATATTCTAAATAAAACAACTGAACACAAGCTATTTTATAATACTGAAAATAATGCAAAAAACATCTGGCCACTAGAGCCCAGTTATCTTAACTGGCCTTTTTCTTCTCCTTCCCACTGATCAATCTTTCTTGTTGCTCCTCTAAAAGACCTACCCTAAGCAGAATGCATAACCAAAGTAATCATTTATAATCAATCACTTCAACAAGAACACTTGAAACTCAACAACTTCACCTAATTTTCTCCAACATTTAAGTTCTAAATGCCAAACCTCAAATCAAAGCCTCAGGAGAAGGGGAAAGAAAGGTCAAATTCATCCTGTTACTTACCTAGTTTGAGATTTTGAAGGAATGGGAAACGACTTTGAATAAATCCCCCCGCTGTCTTCCCCTGACGTTTTCTTCTAGAGGTTTGCAGTGCCCACTTTCTTTTTTTTATCCAGACCCAGCCAAGGTGTGTTAAAGCTGAGTGATCTTTCAAAAATGTTCACTTCTCCTTCTCTCCCCCTTGTTTCTTTCAGTTCTTTGCTTCCAGACAAGTCCTGACAAAGGTGTGTCTTGGTTTACAGCGTTACTCCACCCTTCCAATTATCTGACACTTGCTGAATTAAAAAAAAAAAATCTGCCTCCAGGAGTCAAACTTTATAGGAGGCAGAAAGTTTCTCCTACTTTAGGTGCATTAACCATTTATAGGCGTATGGGGAAAGAGGAACAAAGGTTCAGCATAAAGGAAATTTCCTTTTATTGCCTCTCCTTTCGTTTTACAGCCAGAAAACTGACACAGCTTGGTATTTCCTTTCCTCACTGCCATGGGAATGGTCAGAATCCCAACTGCATGATTTGTGGTTTAGCTAGCATGTGGGGGTCAAGGTGCCATAGGTGTGGTCACGGTGCCTAAGCCCTAGAAAAACTGTGACATTGGCAGGGTTTATATTCAAGACCTGTTTCCCCTGTATATGCCTTTGCCCTGTTTACCCCATTCTGACCCAAGTTAGGCCAAAGGTCAAGTCCACCTAAAGGGAAACAGTAGGTGAACTAATTTAGAATAAGATGTTAATGATTGAAAATGTGAAGCAATTGGTGGCATAGGAATTCATTTTTTAAATGAGGTAACCAGATATAGCAATACAGACTCCAAAGAGTTACATGTTAGTGACAGGATTTCAGGCATGTAGCCACTCAATGGAGAGAGAGATTGCTGGGGAGGGTTAAGGATCTTCTTGCCCCTTGAATCAGCAACCACGTAGTCACCATACACATGTGTGGCCTCCCAGAGGCTGTGTAACTCCAGGTGCATTCCATGGGACAATTAGACTTCCATAGAGGGTCAATTTGCACCAATCTATACAATTCTCATGAATACCTGGAGAGCATCTGGCTTTCCAGAACCCCTAAAGACTAGCTTGAGATTCTGACTCTTGGTGTAGATAATTTGTCAAGTCTGAACTTGGAACTCACTCAGGTGATTCTTTGGAGCCATAACAATTTCTCAGGACCCAATGTCAGGTTTGTATTCCCAGTTCTGAGTCATCATTCCAAGACCCTGGAGCAGAACAATGGAATTCCCGCAGCAGAACACTCATGTATGTTGGCACCCTGCTATTGTGGGCACTCAAACCCCACGGAGGGGTTTGAGCACCACCTGTAGTGTTTTCACTCCAAAGCTCCCAATATTCTGCTTTGGAGTCACACACTTCAGAGCCTTTTCGATCATCTAGAATGTACCACTATGGGATTCTTGCTTCCTGGCATGTTCCTGCCTTCCCCACATAAATACTCAACATGTTTGCTGTCAATCTCATAGGAGAAAAGCATTGAAGAATCTGAAGACAGAGTATGAAATTGACATAACCCTGCATCATTCACTCACTTATTCATTAATTCATGAATTAAACAAAAAATACATTAACTACTGCTTGAAGCCAGACATTGAACTATATTCTGAGAGTTCAGTGGTGAAATATAGATACATCCTTTGTCCTTATGGAGTTCACAATCTAGTGGAGGATGATAGGCCTTAAACAATGTATTATTCTGCTAGGACTGCGGAAACAAAATTGTGATGTCTTAAACAACAAAAATTAATTTTCTCACAGTTCTGGAGGCTGGAAGTCCAAGATCAAGGTGTCAGCAGGTTGTTTTCTCCTGAGGCCTCTCTCCTTGGCTTGCAGATGGTATCTTCTTGCGGGGTCCTCACATGACTTTTTCTCTGTGTACATGCATCCTTGGTGTCCCTCTCTATATGTCCTAATCTCCTCTTCTTGTAAGGACACTAGTTACTCAACTTCAGTCAGATTGGATTAGGGCCCATCCTAACAGCCTCATATTAACTCAGTTAGTTCTTTAAAGGCCATGTCTCCAAATACTGTTATATTCTAAGGTGCCAGGGTGCAATGTGAATTCTGGAGGACAAAATTCATAACAAGTTATGTACATAACAAACAATTATGTACCAATATATAATTAAGAATGTGATAACTATTATAAAGGAAGAATTCTGGATTTTATGAAGGAGTAGAAGAGGAGACGTATCCTAAGGAGGGACCTAAGAGAAAGCCTTGCTAAGAAAATGACACTTAAACTGATAGATGAAGGTTGAATAGAAATTATACAGGTGAAAGGAGGGGTTGAGAGAGTCCTAATCTAGACAGGGAAAAGAGTGTTTGAGAAAGCTCTGAAATGGAAAAAGCATGGTGAGTTTGAGGAAGAGTGATGCCAATATATTTGAATGCACTAAGCCAAGGGAGGGTGGCAGTGGAAGAGAAGCTGGAGAAACAGGCAAGGGCTAGATCATTCAAGGTTACATAGAACGTGGTAGGGAGGTGTTTTTTGGCAGCTGGCAAATGTTCTTAAGTTGGCATTAGGGAACAACTCTATATAGGCATGGTATGAGTGTTTGGATTATTGAGAAACAAGAGAACTGAAATTCTAAGGTCGATTATGTGCCAGATATTTTATATACATTATCTTATTTAATCCCTACAGCAACTCTAAGGGGGTTGTGCTGCTATTATCTTCATTTTATAGCTGAGAGAAGTGGATTTCAGAGAAGTTGAGTAACCAGGCCAAAGATCTTACATCTAATAATTGGCTCCGGAGAGGGGAGCAGGACTGGAAAAGGAGTTGTGGAATGGTTGATCTTGCATACATGATAAAGCCTCCTAAGAATCCCAGTAGTGTGGGATGGGGAGAGCTTCCACATTGGTGAATGTGGATGTGCTCCATCCACGTACTTGGAGGGTGACACATCCCAACTCCATGGGGATAGAAGCTCCTGCACTCAGGACCCTCCTGGACCTCACCCTGTGTATCTTTTCATCTGTATCCTTTATCATATCCTTTCATAAACTGGTAAATGTAAGTGTTTCCAGGGGTCCTGTGAGTCATTCTAGCAAATAATCAAATCCAAGGGGGAAACGGTGATGGGAACCTCAAATTTGTAGCCAAATCAGACAGAAGTTGTGGGGAACCTGGGGACCTACTACTTGTGATTGGATTCTGAAGTGGGGGGCAGTCTTGTGAGGCTTGACCTGTGGGATCTGATGCTATCTCCAGGCAGACAGTGTTAGAATTCAGTTAAATTGTAGCTCGATAGTGTCACAGAGAATTCTCTTGGTGTCACAGAGAATTGGGGGAACCCCCACACACATATCTCGTGTCAGAAAGAAAGACACAGGAGGAGGACTGGGAGGTGTTTTTCTGTACAGTGCAGAGCTTGCATTCCACTTGGCTCTTGAACCCTTGTTTCCCACTGCCTGTGTATTATTAAGGTTTAAGTACGCCCATAGCTTTGAACTGAAAGGAAATAGGCAATATCAAACAGATCAGGCTGGGGCAAATGACAAAGTAAATAAGAACTAAAACCATCTGAACAGTGGAGATATTTTCTGTCACAGCATCATGATGTTGGTATAATTTATTGATAGTTTTAGATAAAACTCTGTATTAGGAGTTGGCAACAATAGACCAATCAATTATTCAATTTGTGTAACTACTAAAAACCAAACACGCTAACCAACCTCTGAATTCAGCATGGCTGTTTGTTTCCTCCCCTTGGGTTCCTATCATAACACTGACATTCTCCAGGAACAATGGAAAACCCAGACCCAAAATAAATAAACCCCAAAGTAATACATTCAGGATCCTCTAAGCTAATTCAATAGATAGTAAGTCTGCATGTTCGTGCTCCCACATATTTATATGTGCATGTGAATACTGATTATAGAATCCTGCACTAGGCCCTTCGGGGAGAAGAAAATGAAAAGAATCTAAGTGCTTATATTCTAGTTTCTCAAGCGTTCATCATTGTTTTGTGCTTGGCAAAATCATTTATAATAAGACTTATCTTGGTACATGGAGTGAAAGAAACCTTGAGTTCATTGAACAACCATATGCTAAGTTCCTACCATATCCTGGTACTAAGAGAATTGTCTTTTAAATGTTTCAAATTAACCAGAAAGCAACAAAATTCTTGGTAAAATTAAGGAACAAGGAGTCAAATTTAGGAGATAGCAGTGACTAAGACACCGGAAAGGTATTTCTTTTTCCCTGCTCCATTTGGAGCTGTGTTTAATGAGTCACAATTAATCAATTTTTGATGAACCAGAAAGAAAATTTCCTTACGAGGCAACCAGAAAAAGAGTCATTCTCCCAAAATTATCTACTAACTTCTAAATAGGTTGGGGAGAAAGCATGTCTGTTCATGTGTAACCCAGATGGGCACCTGGTGACTGAGCAATGTGATGTATAAATCCAGTTTTTGGTGACTAGGGTGAGTGTTTTGTCAAATGACTATTCACTACCTCATTCATCTTTGAATATAGATTTTTCTTTGTTTGATTTAAAGGAATATATCCTATAGAAGGATTTCTACATATTCTGTGACCCTTCTTCCATAAAACGGCATCACATGAAAGTGATATGTTTTTATGATATTTTCATCCAGGGATCTGAAAGCTTTGGGACACACTTGCCTTGCATTCCTAAAAGACAATAAAAAGTGAAGTTCACTGAGAAGGAGGTGAGAGAAAATATTTTTATATTTCGTGAGATAATTCCACTATCTACAATCATTGATTCAGCTCTTTTGTTGGACAGTAAATCCACTGATTTTTTTTAAAAAAAGAATTCCTACATATTAAAATAAAATGATACGATAATTATTTGTTGCAGGTTGCTACTACATTTCTAAGACCAGAAAACCATATTTCTGCCTGGCTTTCTCTTTGGTTAGCATGTATTCCTGGATGATACAACAGCTCTGTGAACAATTATGGCAAGAGCATATGTCAGTTTATAGAGCATTTAGCTTTTGGAAGCCTGCAGCTAAGAAACAGTACCAACTCCTGCCCTTCTTACATAGGTTTAAGGTCTCCATCAGCTTTTCTTGTCTATAATGGTTCTTGAATTGCTCCCAAACTGTGTTCCTTGCTGCCTTTATTATAAAAACAAAGCACCCTGGTTTCCTTTCTTCCATTTTCAATTTCTGATCTTTTCATTCATTTATCCATTCAAAACCCATATATATTTGTTGAATGAGTAAACAAACACCTATTGAGGATCT